ATATATGAGCAGCGAGTCGATTACAGGTAAAGGACGATGATCCGTCTGACAGGAGCGTCAGTTCTCTCCCCTGATAGACTGTCGATTTTAAGTCATGGCTGGCAAATAACACAGGCATTGTCGATCTCGATATTGAAATATTGACTTGACCTTTTAACCCGGCAGGCGGTGGGCCTCCCAGCCACCTTCCGCGCGGTGGGGGGGGGCATTTTTTTGCCCCCCCCCCCTCGTATCTCCGAAACTACTGGACGGATCCGGAAAATTCAAACGGCGTTCGATAGCCCTGTCAAATTTGTCAAGGGAAACCAAATTTAATTGACCTCGGGGTCACCGATGACGTCACAGGTCAGGTCAAATATAAAATGTTTCACCGTTCACGGGGCTTCTAGGGAAAGCGCTATAACACCGAGTAAAACGCATTTTGTCGAAAATCAGCGATAAGGCGTCAATTTTCTAGTACATATGTTGCTATTAGAGGTCACTGGTCATACCAGGTCAGGTCACAGGTCAGGTCACCAAAGGTCACCAGGGGTCACCACATGAACCCAACTTTACTAAGGTTGTGCGATGCATGTTTTATGGCCAGTTTTTCATTTCCAACTCGATGGTATTGGTTATAAGACCATCAGGTACGGTTTAGGTCACTTTCTGGTGGAGGTCAGGTCAAGGTCAGGTCAAAAAAGGTCAAATTTCAAAGTTGATATTTTTGCATAAAATGGGTATCGATTCGATGCAGCTCGTCACGGGGAGTCTAATTGTGGTCTTTGTTTTGCGCTACGAGGTCTAGAATTGCAAAAAAAAATTGAGTTTGAAAATTTGACGTCATCAATTTTGAAGTTTTTTCGCTATAACTTGGCCAAAAAAAAGAGGTATTGATCTCAAATTTGGTATGTAGATAGAAGGCGGTAGGGACTATCACATATATTCCGGTTTTTTTCGAAATTCAAAAAACTTTTTGGATTTTTCGGCTATTATATTCAAAAAATTTATTTTTTGATTTTTGGGGGTCAAAATCCAAAAACTTCGAAACACCGAAACAACAGTTTTGTAGCCCTCTTGATTTCACACTTTTTACGTCTGGAACATTTTTCTGTATCTCTAAAGCTGTAGGCCTGACAGCTCTTCCCGAGAAACCTTTTTTTGGGTCGAAAATGGCAAAAATGACGTCACTCTGACGTCATTAGCGGTCAACCTATCATAGCCTTTGGAAAAATATTTGGTCACCATGTGCGATAGCTACTCCCGGGAGGGTACTGAAAGTTTGGTGACGATCGGCGCAGCGGTTCTCGAGATATATCGAAAAAAACTAAAGGGGGGGGGCAAAAAAATGCCCCCCACCGCCTGGAAGGTTAACCAGCGCCCGTAGGGGAGCCGAAACAGCCCCCCTGTCCTTTTCGGTCGATATCTCCTAAACGGCTGGAGATATCGCCACCAAACTTTCAGAACCCCTCCGGGCATCAATTTTACACATTGTGACCAAAAATTTTTCCAGAGGCTATGATAGGTTGGCCACAAATGACGTAAGAATGACGTCATGTTCTGCCATTTTCGACCGAAAAAAGACCTTCGCGAGAAGACCTGTCAGGCCTACAGCTTTGAAGATACAGAAAAATGATCAATACATAAAAGGTGTACAATTGACAGGGCTACAAAATTGCTATCTCGGATTTTTGAAAATTTTTGAGTTTTGACCCCCAAATTTTTTTGGATATATTAGCCAAAAAATCCAAAAAGTTTTTTGAGTTTCGAAAAAAAACGGAATATATGTGATAGTACCTACCGTCTTCTATCTACATACCAAATTTCAGATCGATACCTCGTTTTTTGGCCAAGTTATAGCGAAAAAAACTGTTCAAAAATGATGTCGTCAATTTTTTAAACTCAATTTTTGGCAATTCTAGACCTCGTAGAGCAAAACAAAGACCACCATTAGACTCCCCGTGACGAGCTGCATCGAATCGATACCCATTTTATGCAAAAATATCAACTTTGAAATTTGACCCAATTTGACCTGACCTTGACCTGACCTTCACCAAAACGTGACCTAGGCTGGCCCCAAAGGCTGCGTAACCCACATAATCGCATTTGTCATGTAAAATGGACCATAAAACATGTATCACACGACACTTTCATATTGTGACCCCCGGTGACCTGACTTCGCTGTGACCTGACCTGGTATCAGTGACCTCAGATAGCAAAGTATGTGTTTGACGAACAATGTACCATCGATGGTTTTCAATAAATTACCAATTTACTCGATTTCACAACACATTTCTTGAAATGCCTGTGAACGGTGAAATCTGACCTTTGACCTGACCTGTGCAGGGTTGTATACGACTCAATCAATAGCAATCAATTCAATCACGACAAATTTGGGAAACCAATCAAATCAATCAAGTCAGAGCAGTTTTCGGGAATTGATTCAATCGACTCAAACGCGACAATGAAAGGAATCAATCAACTCAATCAAACGACTCAAACCAAGACATACATTAGGTTTGTTGCCCCACCAACTTGGAAAAGTGTCCATAGCAGTCTGGTGTACCTACCCACCTACCTACCTACAGAAGAAACATAAAAATATTGCCATTTAAAATTATAAATTGCCATGCCATTCAAAGTGTCTATGTAATAAGGAAGGATACCTAGTGATGGACAGGTGGATCATGATATTGAGGTTCAATGGGTAGAATTGGAGCAGAAGTTTCATTTAATGGGTGCAAAATAACCCAGTAGTTGACTCGCCCCTTAACCCAAATCACCACCTTTCACCTAAAAGTTGTCAATTTAATTTGGGCCATATTCCAACTCCATTTACACTAAATATCAGATATTGCAGTTGAAAGTTGGCTGCTCGGATTTTGGCAGTGTTCGTGATTTGGCCATTTACCCTACACCATGTCTATTTTAATGGATACTATGCATCAATAACATATTAACCATAGGGAAATAGAAATAAATATCTTACCTGCATGTGACGTTTTCGGTTAGACAGAGACTGACGGGCAGCCTGAAAAATCTGTCCACACAATGTGCATTTGAGACGTGGGATGTTGTCAGATTGGGAAGGAAGAGATTTGAAGTATTTAGCGGTCCACGACTCTGGACGTGGCATGTCAATGTTAGGTACCTATGTGAAGAATTCAAAACATTTTATTGCAATACAATTTGAAACTGTTAGGACTAGGGGATAGGGATGAGGATTAAAAATATATTCAAAAGGAAATGGAGAGGACAGGGACTCTGGAACCACAGGATAAGTTAAGGACAAAGGAAGTAGGAACAAGGAAAAATAAAATGCGAAAACGACACGGTGCGACTGCGAAACATAGAAAACGTTTTGCCTATAAGTATGCTAAGCTTTTATAAATCCTAATTCTACGTCTTTTGATTTTTTTGTAAGATGACGTCATTGATTATCATGTAGTATGGTAGATCATCATAAAATAAATCGGTTGTACAACACTAATTTCGTTTTAATTATTATTTCATTTGAAATAAAACCACTTAATAATATTCTGTAAAATATTTTAAGGAAAACGAAGTATATTAAATATGTTATGCTTAGGCTCTCAGGAGGAAAGGATCAACAAACGTTCTGCTGCAAATTAAACAATGCAGCAAATTAGCTATTAATTAGGCACGTAAACGTTATTAGCGAGACGAAAACGGCGCTTTTGTTTCAGTTATTTTTGTAGGGGTTTCAGATATTTATAGAGTTCAGTGGGTTGTTTCGGAGGAGATGTGAATTATTAATTAATCACACTTTATTAGTATATAGGGCCTTGCACTTTATCATCTGGATTAAAAAAAAACGTTTCCTGCTGAGTGCAGAAAGGTAGGTAGGTGCATCGCCAGGCTCTATCACCAGGATTGGAGCAGTTATTGCAGTTGAAAGTCAAAGTTGGCTGTTCATGTTTAGGCCCTGTTCTTTATTTGGCCATCTACCCCATATTGCAGTTGTGATGACAAGCAGTTTTCAGTGTAGTTTTGTGATCTTTGATGTCATCAATTGGTGTCATTATTTTTTGTCAACTAAAACTTATTTGAACTTTCCATTCAATCACTCAATCATACGAGTCACTCTAATTTTCGGGAATCAAATCAGTCAACCAGTCGCTAAAGTCAAACGAGTCAGTCAACCAGTCATCTCGAAAAGTCAATCGACTCAATCCAATCAACTCAAAATACGCGTTGAAACAAATCAATCAATTCAATCGACTTGATTGGTATACAACCCTGGACCTGTGACGTCATTGGTTTGACCTAGGTCAATAAAATTTGGTCACAAGGTAGTTCCCGGGTGGGGCTATCGAACGCCGTTCGAATTTTGAAAATCGGCCGGTAACTTTCCGAGATCGTAGGGGGGGGGGGGCGTTTCGGCCCCCGCCGGTAGCCCTACGGGGCGCGGGTTAATAGATATCAAACGTTTCTCGTGAGTCATGGTAGTAGGTATATGCATGTTTTTATAACCTTTCAATGTGGAATGTCCGATACTCGACTGACGATTTCCTGTAACTTTATCGTAGTTCAAAACAGAAAATATATATTAGTCGTTTTTACGACATCATCTGGTAGGTACACATTTGGTGCAGATTAGGTGTAGATTTGGTGTAGATTTGGTCAAATTAGGTTCATTGTGTTTCTTAAAAGTTCGTCAGTTTGGGTTGCACAGATGCACCTTATTTTTCAAATTATCAGACATGATTTTCGATTAAAACACTGAAATAAGTTCATATAATGACATTTGTTGTAAAATAGCTTTCGCGCAGATTTGGTCAAATTAGGTGCATTCGCCAGACAGCCCATCGTTAAAACGGCTTTGACCTCCCCTGATCCCACAACTCTTCCGGGATCTGTAAATTGGTTTGTGAACAGTATATTCGATATTAATAACAAGTGGCTACTGAAGCTCTGAGTTGCGAGGCCACGACGCCCGACACAAGTGGAAAGCATCCGACTTGTGAAGCAGGACTTCAATTTTGGTGCGTGCCTCTTACCTGGCTGCCTGCTACGTGTCAGTCTGTGCGCCACTATGTCATCAGCGGTAAAACCCTGCACGTGGCCGCCGCCGTTCACCGCTGGAGCAGCGCCATCAGCTCCTCTCTGCACCGGTCCTTTTCCAGTGAGACCGCTCGTCCTCACAGCCCGCCGCACGGCTCAGTGCTACGCGTCGGTCGCCAGCCCCCGGCATCACATTACCGCCCCGCGCCGCACCAGGACTGCTCTGCGTGCACCACACACCCCTCCGAGCACCGCCCGAGGCGCTACTGGCGACCGTCGCCGCCGCAGGAGCCGACGAGTCACCGGCCGCCGCGCGCAGGCTCGCCCCGGGCCACTGCCGGCGGCCGGCGGCCGGGGAGCGTTGGCCGCCGGCCTGCACCGCGCCGCACTCAGCAGATGGGCCGTGAGTAAGCGGCGATTACGAGTCGACGAAAAAGCGTGGATCGCCCAGCTGTGCCTCAGGTGGTGGGGGGGGGGGAGGGGTGGGGGAAGTAGATGGGGCACACTTGGCGCTGAGGGGGGAGGTGAGCGTGATCTCTCATTGTGCCTGGGGCGGGGGAGGGGCGCTGACTAGTCAACAAACCTTACCTACCTTACCTTCACAGTGATCGGGAGGGAAAAGGCCACTTGGCCTGGAGATCCCGTTCTCATCGAGCTCTAGGACTAGGACAGTCTGGGCTCTTATGGGTAACATGAAGACGCAGCAAAAACAGGAATGCTAACAGAAAGAAGATGCATCGTGGTCTCGAAGCAACGCATGATAGGGCATCCCAGTTTAGCTGTTTTCGCTCATAACTTATCATAATGCTCATATAAATGCTCATCCATTTCAGAGTCAGTGCAACCCAGGTCTTGGCGTACAATTTAATCGTTGTTAGGCATTCCCAACGCCGTCTGAAATGATTTATGCACATTACGTAAATGATCTAACGTCAGGATGGCTTTTGAAATCAGCGAGATGACAGAAATGAGTCCAAGCAATGCAACGTTCATATTGATTGTACCGACAACTTTATAATTAAAAACGTTTTGAGGACAATTTATGTTATGTGTCCCCGATTATCACGAGCATTGACTAGTTTTAAGCATGATTTAAACGGATAATGGCTTTATGATTTTTGGTGTTATCAATCAGCATGCGTTTCAGGGGAATTAATTCACGTCTATTGGTACGGTTCTGTTGTCAGCCGGCGGACGCTCAGTCATTGTCACGTAACATTAGAACCGGCAGCCCTCCATTGACTCAGGCCAGGTCATCCATTGACATCTGTGTCTGCTGTTCAGCACGCAGTGTTTGAGGGAGATGATGCACGTATCATCCATGACGTTAAGAAAATGTGACGGAAAATGTGCAGGGTCTCCCGCCGGTGACCTAGCGACCCGGGACGCCGGCATAGGAGTCTGCACCATGTGCGGCGGCCGTGCACGCCCTGCGCTAAGTGATCGATGTGTCGCTCACAGACAAGCTAATTTGCCGGCAGGACCTAGTGTCGTTAGCGAATAGAATGGTATGTAATGCAACTTGCCATTGGATGCATGATTGGATGCATGACAGTGCAACGGCGAACCTGCTGTCAGGGCGCGTTCGTGAAAATGTTAGGTCAAAAAGGAGCCAAAAATGGTCGCCAATCTTTCTTACCAGATATCTTATCGGAATTACACATGGCGCATCACGAAGATCTCGCGTGCTGGCTAGTTTTTCCGGCCAAAACTTTTATATCTTTGACACACCTTGGCAGCAGATAGTCACTATAGTGATCACAGATGTGGTGATGTGGTCGCTGTGGTCACGTTGGCGTCACAGAGCCCGTCCACGTCAAACCGACGTGTGGCGTACCCGAACAGTTCCATCCTGCGTCCGCCGTCCTTGTACTGGTCGGCGTGGCTGAGCGCACAGTGAGCCAGCGAGCACAGGTCGCCGCCGCGCACTCGGTTGATGCACTGTGCGGCCCAGTCATGGCGCTCCACGCCGGCCGCCTCTGCCACGATACCGGTGAGGAAGACGTCCTCCAGGTGGTGGTAGGGCGTGTCGAGGGCGCGCGCCAGCAGCGGCTGCACGGCGCCGGCCGACACCAGGTAGCCGGGCCCGGTGACGAACGCCGGGTACCGGTCCCACGGCCACTCGCGGTGCGAGCTGCGCCAGGCCAGCAGGCGGCCGCGGTACGGCGTACAGTCGACGCAGAGGAGGCCGTGGATGGAGGGCCGGTGCGCCTGGCCGGCCCGCGCCGCCACCTCCGCCGCCAGACGGCGCACCGTTACCAGCACGTCATCGTCCGTCTTGATGACGAACGCGGCGCGCCGGCAGTGGCGGCCGGCGAACTCGAGCAGCGCCAGCGTCTTCAGACTCAGGTGGTTGTAGTGCTCGGCGGCGCGGCTCTGCAGGATGTCGCCGTAGCGGGCGGACTCGTCGTCCACGGCCGCCTGTCGGTCGGCCAACTGGCGCGCCTCCTGGGCCAGCTCGTCGGGCGTCAGCTCCTCGGCCATGTAGTCCTCGTACTCCTCCTCGTCGGCCAGCAGCTGGTTCACCGCGCGCTCCACGCGCTCCTCGCGGCCCAGCACGAACACGTAGCGGATGCGGGCGGCGGCCAGCTCGGCCCCGTACAGCCGGCGGAACAGGGCGCGCCGCTCGGCGGCCCGCGGCCGGGAGGTGACGCCGAGCAGCGCCAGCGGGCCGCCGCCGCCGCCGCCGGCCGAGGGGGCGCACACCGCCGCCGGCTCGTGCAGCAGCTGCGGCTCGTACACGGCCCGCGTCAGCGGGATGGCGGGGTCCCGGGAGCGCGCCGGCTCGGCAGTCGGCTCTGAAACTGCAGACGGGTCGGTTAGCCTCCACAGCCACAGACCGGCACCTCGACCGGCGGCTCTGTAACGACAGACAGACGGCACGCCCAGCCTCCTCAGACCGGGAACCTCTGGGCCTCCCGGGCTGTGGGAAGACAGACGGATCGGCTGGTCCAGTCAGTCTCGTACATACCTCGACTGCAGACTGCCTGTCCTGGCAGTGTTGCTTTTGGTGAAACTTAACCACGTCAAATCACCCATTCATTTTTATTAATTTAAAAACAATTTTTGACTGGTTATTGTGCTACTGTTGATTATAAACCCCGTGACGGTATAAAATGGCCGCTACTGCGCAAAAAATCGTATGTTCGTTCAGATCGTTCTGCAGATAACGTAATGCATGGATGGTAAAAAGGCATTTACGGGCATCTAAAGGTGTTACCGGAGTTGCGGTGTTACCTGGCTCCGTCGTGTTACAGATGGCGCAACACGGGTGGTCGGGCTCGTACGAGTGCGGGTGCTTCCGGTCGCAGACGTGAGTCGGACACTCGGTGATGACACAGTCGGGCTCCGGCTCCACATCGCTCTGCGACAGACGGGTGACTCTGGTGAGGGACGGGACAAAGTCTAACGGGGTCGATAAACAAACGCTCATTTGTTCAAACGAATCGTCATCGTAACATACGTATCGCATCGAAAACCAGACGACACTTAACAACAAACGGGAAAGGCAATTCGTGTTCACTTAAAAAAAGAGCTATTTTCGATGCATGCGTAATGCGTAAGCTGCGATGCTTATTACGATCTTGCGCTAATTTCATAACCTCGCTGTTCCTCCTCGCCGTAGCTGAAGTAGGTACACTCTCATGGTGCCCGGTGAGGCTGACTCTGACGACGACTGACGTACCGTTTTCACCGAGCACAGGCAGCTGAGACAGGCCTCCGGTCGGCCGGCGGTGATCGTCCCGTACGGCTCCGACGACCGCTCCCCCAGCTGAATGAAGCGGCCCTGTATCGAGCAGCCCAGCTCCCGCAGGTCGGCTGAAAACGGACCGGTGTGTCAGGTAAACGGGCCGATGGACCAGCGAAATGGACCGGTGTGTCAGATAAACGGAATGGTGGGCAAGGCAGCTAGATAGACCGGTGGACCAGCAAAACGGACCGGTGCGTCAGATAAACGGACTGGTGGACTAGTAAAACGGACCGGTGCAGTGTGTCAGCTGAGCAGCCCGGCGTGTCAGATTAACGCACTGGTAGCATAAACGGACCGCTCGGGTAGACCAGCAAAACGGATTGGTGTGTCAGACAAAGGGACTAGTGTGTCAGATAGGTAAACGGACCGGTATAGACCAGTGAAACTGACTGGTGTGTCAGCCTAGTGGCCTATAGTGCCCGCAATCCACATTCCACGGGTCGGCTAGTGAGCTGGCCAACGTAGGTATTGATGAGTACTGGGTAACAGCCATGTGACACATACCGAGCTTGCGCTGTAGTCGGGAGATGTTGGCCGCTTCCGGCGGGCTCAGGTCAGAGGTGACTCTCTCCCAGTGGCCGTAGGCGACAAACAGCACCAGCACCAGCGCCAGAGCGGCCGGCACCACCCGCACCAGGCTGGGGCGCTTCATGGGGGCGCCGGCGACCGTCGCCAGCCTCCTCCATCAAGGACTACCGACTCAACCCAGTCACTCCATCGGAACACACGTACCGCAGCCCGCAACACACAGCGACTCACTTTCCACACAGCCACACTTTGACCGACCACCGCCAGAGCTACAGTATAGCGGCTCACAGCACAGACACGGCACAGCACGCCATACCACCACACTGATCTGGCCGACCCTCACTGGCCGGCGTGCCTCCCAGCCAGCCAGCTTCCCGCTCTATTCTCCTCATCTCCGCGGGCCACGGTCAATGACCCGCTGTCGGCGGCTGTGAGCCGTCCGGCCGCCGCGGGATGACCGTCGCTGGGGTCGGGACCACCTGACCTTCAGGTGGTGAGCAGGTAAGCACTGGGCTTGAGAGCAAGAAAGCAGGTGACAGATTTTAAGAAGTGTGTAAACTGTGACTTTTTGGCATATTTTGGTCAACAATAATTTCCAAATTATCTTTTTTAATGTCATTGAATTACATGGTTCAATGAAACATACACAAGCAACTATTTATTTTAGTAGTAGCATCTACGCTTTTGAGGCGTACGCCGCGCATATGTGACAAAAAGCTTTCATTTTTATTGTAATTGAATTTCTGTATATAAAATATGACGTCATAGAACATCGTAAGTTGACGAATCAACTTGAAGTAAATAAAAATGAATGTCGCTAGCAAAGGCTTCATTGGTGGCTCGTATGGCTCGTATCATCTCATAATATCATTAATTTTTATCTAAAGAATTTCGTTGAACTTTTTGTTAGTGTCATATGTTGATGTGTGGTTTTCTATTTTCTAATATTATTAATTACCATGTACAATAATTTTTCAAATTATAATTTTGTGCTAGTGTCATATCTGTTGCGCTGCTGTGGTTTGATTTCTGAGTTGATTTGAGAATTGAGAAGAGTGATGAATCAATATTGGATAAACAATGGGAAATATAATTATTTTTTAATTATGCCTATTTTTTAATTGGTTATGCATCAACATGTGTTTTGCACATGTTGATGCATGGATATTACTTGTATGCCGCTGACGAAGTGACAATAATACAGTCACGAAACTGTCCGGAAAAGCCGAGTACTTTAACATGTGTTTTGGTAAAATGTCTTTTTTGAGCCTTTTTCAAGCCTATCCAAAATGACGCTTCAAATCATCTGCCTAAATGTTTGTGTACCACTGTCTTTTTTGGATAGGTACCTACTAGCGAAATATAATGGTTTGAAAAAGCCCTTTTTTAAAGGAAGTATACCTATTTTACACTTTTGGTATCAGTCGGTAAGGCAGACATAGCATGAGCGAGCATTTTGTCCACACCATAGCATGCCAGCTTGTGCTATGGATCTGCCTTATGCTTACCGATACCGACTGATTCTGATTGTCTGAAGCAGCCCTGATATCTATATCAGCCTTGATAATCAGCCTTGCATTGCAATCAGATATCTGAATGGAAAGTGTACAGATTTCTCAAGCCACACCAGCAGAAGTGACATTCACAGGCCACAGCAACCTACCCCAACCTGGTTAAAGATATTAGCCACTATATTAGCTTGGCAGTTGGCACTATACAATTGGCAAGAAAATTGACAATTGGCATACATTAAACAGCAAACCTATCATTTATTACACAATTTGAAAATAGAGTTATATTCACTTGTGATGTGCAAAAATGCATTTTATAGGAATTTGGCAATCCCTGGGTAACTCATTGCGCCTTCTGTACCTACATGATTTTATTTGTCAACCATGTGACAGCACACCAGTGAAATGTGGGAACATGTTATTGTCTGCCCTGTTTCACTCCAAATGTGTCTCACACCATAATTAAATTGTAAATACTGGGCACCTGATGAGTGCCTACTCACAGATAAGGCCATAGGTGTAGGAACAGGGGGGGACGGGGGGCCGGTGGCCCCCCCACTTTTCATAGTGGGGGGCCAGTAATGTTAACTGGCCCCCCCACTTTTTGCCGAACTTTTTAATGTATTTGTAGGTATCACCCCGAAGAACAAACTTGACGGTTCTCTGGCCTGCCTTTCCATGAAGATTTCCATTTGTGCTTCATCGTTATTGAGTGCAATTTTCCTCCACCCAATGAAAGGTAACTTTGTCAGAAGCAATAAGTGGCAGCTTAGGGGCAGCGCGCGCTGCAAAGAGAGACAATACTGGCGCAGCAGAATGCGTAAACGGCGTAAACTAACAATTTATGTTAGGCGGCCTTGCATTAGTTGATCGGTTACTGGCACAGGCGTAGGAACAGGGGGGCAGGGGGCAATGGTCCCCCACTTTCGAATGGGGCCAGCAATGTTAACTGTCCCCCCCCCCCCCCCCCCCCACACACACACACCTTTTGCTGACTTTTCACTTCTCACGTTTCACGCTCGCTCGTAATAAAAAAATGTTTTTGGATGCTTCAGGAATTTGCATGGGTGCCAACTGCCAACCAGTGGCGGATCCAAGGTGGGGTCACATGGGTCATGCTCCCTTGGGGCCCGGGGGCACCACAGGCCTACCAGGGGCACCACCGACCTATCAGGGGCACCACAGACCTGACAGGGGCACCACAGACCTGACAGGGGCACCACAGACCTGACAGGAGCACCATCGGCCTAGCAAGAGCACCACTGGTCTGCCAGGGGCACCACAGACCTGTCAGGGGCACCACAGGTCTTCCAGGGGCACCAAAGGCCTTCCAGGGGCACCACCGGCCTCGCAGGGGCACCACCGGCCTCGCAGGGGCACCTTGGGCCTGTCAAGGGCACCACGGACCTGTCAGGGGCACCTCAGGCTTGTCAGGGCCCAGGGGCACCACAGTCCTTTCAGGAGCACCACAGGCCTGTCAGGGGCACCAGAAGCCTAGCAGGGGCACCACAGGTCTGCCAGGGGCACCCACTGGCCTCGCAGGGGCACCTTGGGACTGTCAGGGGCATCACGTGCCTGTCGGGGACACTTCAGGCTTGTCAGGAGCACCACAGTCCTGTCAGGGCCCAGGGGCACCAGCGGCCTAGCAGGGGCACCACGGCCTCGCAGGGGCACCACCGGCCTCGCAGGGGCACCACCGGCCTCGCATAGGCACCATGGGCCTGTCGCTGGCACTTCAGGCTCGTAAGGAGCACCACAGTCCTTCCAGGGGCACCACAAACCTGCCAGGGGCGCCTGTGGCCTAGCAGGGGCACCACAGGCCCGCCAGGGGCACCACAGGCCTGTTAGGGCAAAAACAAATAAATAAGAAATAAAAATAGGGCACCACCAAAATTAAGTGGCCGAAATCAGTTGAGGTTTTAATTTTGGGTATAGGTAGGGGCACTACTTCGATTCATGACCCTCCCCTTGGAGTTTTCCTGGATCCGCTCCTGGTGCCAACGCGGCTGCGGAGGCCAGGGGGACGCGTCCATGAGATTTAATTTCTGGACGGGAGTCTCCCCGAGGTTTTGGTCGATTTTTTTTTTCTTGTCACGTTTTTTTTTACCAATTTGAGCATGCTTGCGAAAATAAAGTGGCCGAAATCCGAGGAGAAAATGGATTTTGGGGGTAGGTGAGGTTTTGTGCCTCTGGGAGCCTGGCCCCCCCCCCCCCCCCCCACTTTCGAAAACGTTCCTACACCTATGGATAAGGCTAAGTAGAAACTGCAGTGTTTTGCAATATTGATTAGTGAATTGTGACAGCCTGACCGAGCATTTTCCTCAATGAAAATGATATAGCAATAGAATCCAATATTTCAATTTAGAATAATCATTTTGCATCAATATTGGATAATAATGTCTAGAGCCATGCAAACTAAATAGAATAACTTCATATAAAAACAATAAAATCAAATTTCAACCTAATCCACTCTAATACCTAGTATCAAATTCTGTCCATCATCTTCATGCATTGGAATGGAAGCAATATACCAATTTTGATGTGTTACCTGAGCAATATCCTTGAATGCAGTTAGCTAATTTTACAAAAAATGCAGATAATTAAATTCCTAGCTATTTGATGTTTAACCCTAGAACGCCTAGGGGGGGGGGGGTTGTATCTACCCCCCCCCCCTGAGGTTTTTTCGAAGTGCACGCTAAACGGCTTGTCGTAGCGGGCTGAAGTTTTCAATACCCTCTGGGGCAACCTTTGCGCATCTTTTGCCGAAAAAAATTGATCGGGTCATGTCAGGTCACGGAGTTATGACGTCATAAGAGGTACAGCCTCCGGCCGACAGTTACCAAACGTGTGCGCCGAATCCCTAGGTTTTCTGCCGGTGATACCCACATTGTTTGATGGATCATGATGAAACTTCCCATGCATGTTGGGGCAAGCATTGGCTATCGTGTGGTGCAAGAAAATTGACCGGGTCAGGTCAGGTCACGGAGTTATGACGTCATAAGAGGAACAGCGTCCGGTACTATTTTTGAAAAGCGCCCGAACCACTATTTTGCTAATTCTTGTCACCTCAATGGGAATATGCAGCAATATTAGCTTCTATAGGGAGCAAATGGACCTCCCAAATCCGAAAATACAATCAGATTTCAAAAATTTAAATTTTGATTTTTCGAATTTCTGCCGCCGACTGTGACCTTGCCGACTTCCGGCGCTCCCAACGCGCCATTTTTAGAGCTAGGGAAACGAAATACATACCAAACGATAGAGAATTGATCAAGGAACACGATAGTGAAGGTTTCAAGTCGATATCTCTCACCGTTTTGCCGCAATCGCCGCGGAAAGTTGAAAAAAGTCTATTTTTCCGAAAATTTGACCTTTGACCGGTCAAAAGTAGGTCAAATGTTGACCTAGGACCAAAAAATATACCACCAATCGCGAGATCTCGTTGAGAGCAATCCGTTGGTTTTTTCCGCTAAGCTCTACGACCTTCCGTTTCGAAACGCCAGGGGGGGGGGGGTCGTAACAACCCCCCCCCCCCCTGGTCGTCCGTGTTATGAGAAATGGCCTGGTCGTGCGAGGGTTAATATACCTCCTGTGGAAAGACTAAGTCCAAAAATACAAAATAAATGTTTTCCCCTTATTCAATAATCAATATATTGACTTAGCTATAGCCTAGTGGATGCTGATAAGATTCTGTTGGGAATTGGGATCTCATAGTTCATAGGTACTCAATAATTCAATATACTTTTTTCTAAGCCTGCTTTGATTATTTCAGCTTTTGCTTCTTTATTCATTTATCTGCAATTTATAGCCAATTTCTGTTGGAACAAGTTGTTTGGAAGGAACTTGCAGTTGTTTTCATAATCTGTTTTTATTTGTAAGTAGTGTGTTCTCTGTCCAGTTTGTAGGTCTTGCATCTCATGCCCCTTGGATCTGCCTGTGCTCATTTATTCCAAGTTGAACTGCCAGGCTGACAACAGCTAGTAGGCACTGTTGGTACATTCCAAGATGCCCACCTACTTAAAGGCACATGATGTCAATCTCACAATATCCTTTGTTTGTTTTGACTGGGAGACTGCAAGCAATACAATACTAATTCTTGCCTTCTTTATCTATTGGATGTCAGAACTCAGAAGGAAGAAACGTGTTCCTGAAAACAACATACGTTTTTTATTTTT